CAAGAACCCGGTGTGCCGGCATCGCTAGGTGGAGGATTAGCCTAGTGAGCCGTGGCGCCAGCCAAGACCATTCTTTCTGAGCCAAAGAGGGATTTGAAGCCCTGGGCCTCTGGATTGGGGAGGAGGTGGGGATGACAGGGTGGGAACTCTGGCTCTCAGAACTTGCTTTCTATAGGCAGAAAGTAATTTAGGAATAATGCCAGGAGCCACACTAACTTTTTATTTGGGCCACTGAAGTCTAATGACCAATTTCTAATGATCAGATGACCTATAAAGTGTGTAAGAATCTTTTTTTTTTTTCACAAGAAATGTAAAACATGTTCCACAATCATTCGTTAAGATACATCAACAGGGTGGATTTCAGTGGTGATAAAGTTGGACATACTTCCGACCATTACTGAAATTAAATACGAGGGAAAGCAGCTGCTAAACAAGTGATCCTACAAGGACCATGAAGCATACACAGCAGAGTGGTTGAAAGCATGGACCCTGGACTCAGACTGCTGGGGCTTGAAGCCTAACTTGCTACTTCTCGCTGTAGGGCGAATTACTGAGCCTCTATGTGCCTGCTCCCTCACCTGTAAAATGGGAATCAAAACATTCGTGAGGAGTGAATGAGTTAATCATGTGGCTCTTTAGAAGACTGCTTGACATAACAATGTTGAAAAAGAAAATACAGGGCACTGGAATGTTATGATAGAGGGGCACACCTTCCTGAGAAGCAGTTTGTACCTTAGAAATAGGAAAGATTAGAGGAGCCCATGTTCTGACACAGCAGGTTAAGCTACTGCTTGCAAAGGCTGGAAACTTAAATTGGAGACCCAGTTGGAGTTCTGCTGCTCCGCTTCTGATCCAGCTCCCTAATGTGCCTGAGAAAGCAGCAGATGATGGTCCGAGTGCTTGGGCCCCTGCCACTGTCCTCTTCTCTTAGAAGGAATCTAGAGACCAACTACCAAGCTATGAAGATCAAAGACCAGGTGAAGGGACCCAGAAGTCCCATGAGTCCAGGCACAAGCTCAGAGAAGGCAGCAATACAAGTGAGGCTCAGAGAGCAGCTGAGCCATTGAGCTAACTCCCAAAACTGTGCAAAAGCTGCTGGTTCAAAGCATTGTTCTGAGGTGATTTCTGACATAGCAATGGCTTGTTCACACAGAAGGACCTGGTGATTGTTGACTGATGGGCAGGGAAGGAATCCACAATAAATCCAAGGTTTCTGGCTTGAGCAAAAACAACTGTAACACCGTTTTGTGAGGTAAAGTAGAGGAAGAGCTGAGGGGAGATCCCGGTTTTTATGGAGTATGGTGTTTGGTGGCAGTATGAGATGATGGGTTTCATACAGGCCATGTTGGTATAGACATCCCAGGTGCAAATGCTATTGCTTCTACAATCCTAGAGCTCAGTAATTAGGTCTTGGTGTAGATTTGGGAGTCACTAGCAGGCAAACAAAGCCACAGGAAAGAACAAGATTGTGGCCGGCACTGCAACTCACTTGGCTGATCCTCCACCTGCGACGCCGGCATCCCAGGTTCTAGTCCCGGTCGGGGCGCCGGATTCTGTCCTGGTTGCTCCTCTTCCAGTCCAACTCCCTGTTGTGGCTCGGGAAGGCAGTGGAGGATGGCCCAAGTGCTTGGGCCCTGCACCCACATGGGAGACCAGGAGGAAGCACCTGGCTCCTGGCTTTGGATCGGCTCAGCACGCCAGCTGTGGTGGCCATTTCGGGGGTGAACCAGTGGAAGGAAGACCTTTCTGTCTCTCTCTCACTGTCTAACTCTGCCTGTCCAAAAAAAAAAAAAAACAACCACACACACAACAAGATTGCTTGAGGCAGAGGAGAAGTGGTATAGAACAGAGTGAGCCATGAGCAGTGGTCTTACTTAAGTGAACATAAGAGCTGGCCAAGGAGACTGAACTGAGTTCAGAGGGAAGGAAGATTACTGAGTGGGGAATGCCAGTTTGGTGGCCAACAAGAGTGGCTACAGGGATTGTCCATGGTGTAAACGCTAAATCACATATGATGATGGAAGTGTTTTTAGGATTAGCAACATGTAGGCCATCAGGAGTGCTGGGGTAGAAGTCAGGCTGCAGAGCCATGAGTAATGGGATTCAGTACATAGAAGCCACTCAGACAAGAACTGGCAATCAAGGATAAATGTACGGGGTAGAGGATGAGGACAACAGAGTTGAATGTTGTCAGGTATGTTTAAACATCAATTGAGAAAAAGGTAATGGGATGGGAAAGTAGAAAATATGAGAGGCGAATCAGTGGAGCAAGGCCTTAAAAAGGACAGGGAATGAACTGGGAGAGAAATTCAGATAATAAGGAAACATCTCCCACTGGAATGGGCAGGAGAGGGGACAACAGGTACACTTGGAGAAGGTCTGGTGAAAGGTTAAGGAAGTTTATGTTCATCATTTACTGGAGTAGGAAAATTATTTGCTACGGCTGAGGGAGATGATTGGGTTGGAAGTCTAAGGTGAATTAAAGTCTTGAAATGGGCACAGCAGAATGTGTAATGTGGGGAGTTACCCAGAAGAGCCATGGGAAAAGAAGCATTGCAGCTCTGACGCTGTCCCCTCCACTAATGTCATATATAAAGTCTGGTTAATTGAACACTATTTAATTTGTTTTTCTGATATAATCCTGCAATGTGTAAACACTGGGACCTGGTCTATTGCTAAACCTAGACTCAAATGGCATTGGTTTATCTGGACAATTTGTAGACAAATTTAGCAGGTATGGGGGAGGAAAATAAATCGACCAGAGGACAATAAACCTACCATACTGCACCATCTAACTTAACCAGGGGCTTACTCAATGGAAGCAGGGAAGTTTGCTTTTAGAGATAAGCTGAAATCTAAGGCCATCTGTCTATTCAACTGGGGAATCCCCAGGATGCTGGAAGCCTATAGATGAGGATATCAGGAAGTCATGAAGACTCCCAAAGCACGTAGCAGTGCTTCTAGAAGAGTTCTGTCTAGACATCCCCACCCCTCTGCAACCCATGACCACAGGGTCATGCTAGAGTCACATAAAACAAAGATCTGCTCCTCACTTCTTGACTCTGTCTACGAGATATGGCTGAGCCAGAGGGGATAGTGTCTCAGCTGAGCAAGCTTCATGGAACATTTTTTTCCTCTACCCACTACTCCTGTCCCCCATTTCACAACTTGGAACTACTGTGAAGAAGGCCTTTGATGAATACAAAGCCAGAACAGTTTCTAAGTCAAGGTAGAAGCACCCAATATTTTCACCTAGGCTCTAATTTCACAACAGGTATTTGAAGTCATTATGGGGACACCTGGTCTCAAATATAAAATTAAGGGGTACGGGGGCCTCTTGGCATCAGCCCCTCAAGTTGCCCTCACCTCCACTGTCACTCTTGGAAGATGCTACAAACAGATTTGGACCACGGAATAGGGAACATTTATTCTCAAGATGAAAAGCAAAGTCAAGTAAAATTGCAGGACGTTCCCAGGTATCTGGTGTCCATATTCAGGACCAAGAGAAACATGAAGAGTGTCCCTGAAATCAATAACAGCTTGGGTATGCATGTGTCCCTGAAATCAATAACAGCTTGGGTGTGTTGGACAAAGAAGGGCCAGTTGTTTCTTTTAAAGGTGACAATGTGACATACAGCTAGGTATGAGATTTAACCTTGATGTTACCCGTGCCTTCCAAACCTCCTGTTATTTTTTCCCTGGATGATTTTGCATAGTCAGTCTAATTTTGAAGAGCCTCAGTTCAGTTTGGAGTAACAATAAGAGGGGTAAGAGCCTACTACTCCTTCTCTATCCCTTCAATAGTCCTTCATCTGTGTTCTCAAAATAATGATATCTCAGCACTGCTGGGTGATGGAACTCATGCAATGAAATCTGATTTTTCAACTGCCAGTCTCTTTTTCCTCCAATATATTCAATATCCTTGTGTACCTCTGCTAGGCCAATTTTCCCAAAAACCAGTTTCGTAACTTCCTTGCTAAGATTTAACAATCTATGACAATTTACTTTGAAATTCAAATACAATTTTCCATGGTTTGAATATAGTATTCTCTCTCAAATTCATGATGAAACTTATATACCCAGTGCAACAGTACTGAGAAGTACAGAGTGATCGACAGTGTTGAGAATTATTAGGTTATGAGGGCTTACATGAATGGAATCAGCAACTTTATAGAATGGCTGGAGATCAACAGGTTCATCAATGCCCTTCAACCTTTCTGCCATGTGAGGGAGGACACAGTCCTCCTCCCCTCCAGAGAAGGCAGCCACAAGGCACTACCTGGGAATTAGAGAGCAGCCCCCAATAGACAACAATCTAATCTACAGCCTTACCACCCTGAACGCGCCCGATCTCGTCTGATCTCGGAAGCTAAGCAGGGCCAGGCCTGGTTAGTACTTGGATGGGAGACCGCCTGGGAATACCAGGTGCTGTAGGCTGGGCCGGTGCTGCGGCTCACTAGGCTATCTACCTGCAGCGCTGGCACCCCGGGTTCTAGTCCCGGTTGGGGCACCGGATTTTGTACCGGTTGCTCCTCTTCCAGTCCAGCTCTCTGCTGTGGCCTGGGAGTGCAGTGGAGGATGGCCCAAGTACTTGGGCCCTGAACCCCATGGGAGACCAGGAGAAGCACCTGGCTCCTGGCTTCAGATTGGCGCAGCGCACCAGCTGCAGGGGCCATTGGGGGGGGTGAACCAATGGAAAAGGAAGACCTTTCTCTCTGTCTCTCTCTCTCACTGTCCACTCTGCCTGTCAAAAAATAAATAAATTAAAAAAAAAAAAAAAAGACAACAATCTAGCCAGTACACTGATCTTGGACTCCCTGTTCTTTTATTTATTTAAAGATTTATTTATTTATTTGAAAGTTGAACTGGCGCCCATATGGGATGCTGGCGCTGCAGGGGGCAGCTTTACCCGTTACGACATAGCACCGGCCCCCTCCCTATTCTTTATAAATTACCCAGTCTCGACTGTTATAGCAGCATAAAAATGGACCAACACACCATTCAGACAATCAGATATTTATTTTGTACCTGATGAGACTTTTCTCTGCCCACACAGCCAGGCTGCTCTGCTCACTATCCCACCAGTATCCATGGTAATCCTGGTAAACTTGCTTTTAGTCTTGATATTCCCATCTCCTGCTAAGTGCACTTTTCTTGTCACTTGAAAAAAAAAAAAAACTAGGGAGAAGACCTATCTCCAAACCCTGTTTCTTTTCCTTTCCTAGGACTAGAAGAATGGAAAGTAAATGCTTCGTATGTACTGGGACTACCTTCCTTCTGAATAGTTAGCCCGCATCCTCTGGCTTACCAGCAGAAAAGGAATACGAGTAACCCTCTGCCACTGAGCAGGGCCCTTGGCTTATGGAGACATCCCAAATACTCATGCTGAAGCAATGTCAACTCTGAAATAGAATAATAATATCTGGTCAGAACTAGCCTAAGGAATAACATGTGACTCTTCATTATATATGATTACTAATACCAACAGCCAAAAACATACTGTTCTTTCCTTCTTATGCTTATTATGTCTAAATAACATGAATACTTCATAATTAAGTTCAATTGACATTGATAAAGAATACATCAACGTTTTAGCTTTTATGCATACAGGTAATGAAAGACACTAAGTAAAAAAGAAAATCCACTATTTATGAATAACAAACAACTAGAACGTTGCATCAGACCAAAATTACCTTTTTCCAAGTTTCTCTGTTTTAGAGTAGTTTTTTCAAATATAAAAACTTACTAAAATCAGTAAAGAATGCCTGGAGACTGAAGGGCACCAAGCACAATACATCTTTACCTCACTGATGTATGTCTCTAGGCTGCACAAGGTCACTGAGGCAGCTATGGACAATTGAGCCCTGGGAGCCAGGCAACAGCAAGAATAAATGTGGACTGTAGTGACACTGAAGTGACATTCCAGAGCCATACACAAGTGGATTTTACCTTTTTTAAAGGCACATTTTCCGTTGGGAGTCTACCCAGGAAAACAGGTTTACTCAAACTACAGCATATACTTCTGAAGACCCCAAGAAAGCCATCTAGTGAATTCCTAGAGATCCAAAACCCCAGAGTAAGAAATGGTGATCTCTACTTCTACAAGACACAGATTTGCTCCCACTATTAAACAGCCTGTAGCACACTACTTCCCACTCTGCTCAGATTTAGGGCTACAGATGTCGTGAGGAAAGGGGGAGGGTGTGAAGCCTGCCGCCTGAGGAAGAGTCCATATTTCTTTAAAACTTCAGGAAGAACATACACTTTCTTCTCACAAGGTTCTCAAGATGGATCAGAGTTGACCAGAAGCACACAACACTATACAGTGAAGTGCCTCCTGTGAAACGGTGCAGATTTGGCAGTCTGGGGGGTTTCTGTCATTTCAGAATTAAGGAAACCACCTGGAGGCTCAGAAAGGCCTCCTCTTTCCCAGGAGACCGAGCTGGCCCTAACACACAGAATATTTACAAGGAAGATCTGGGATCAAAACAGCCCTCATCAGTGGCTGGCATTGCAGCATGGCAGGTAAAGCTACTGCGTGCGATGCTGGTATCCCATATGGGTGTGTAGGTTCGAATCCCGGCTGCTCTACTTACAATCTAGCTCTCTGTTAATGGGCCTGGGAAAGCAACCAAAGATAGCCCTAGTACTTGGACTCCTGTACCCATATGGGAGACCCAGAAGAAACTTCTGGCTCCTATCTGACCCAGCACTAGCCACTGTAACCATTTGGGGAATGAATCAACAGATGGAAAATCTCTTTCTCTCTGTCTCCACTACTCTCTCTGTAACCCTGCCTTTAAAATCAATACAAATCTTTAAAAAAGAAAACAATCCTCATCACATGAAATTCCTCTTCTAGCTCCTATACATAAAGTGGCCACAGATTCCTTTGGCTGAGGTTCCACAATGCTCTGGTAACTCAGTTTCAACTCATCTTTGCTTGGTCACTCTGTGGGTATCAACAGCCTTGGCCAGGCATGAGGAAGTGTCCATCACTGCTATGTACTCTAACTGTTCTGCACAAAGAAGCCAAGTAAAGGACAAGCAAAGGCAATGGTGATTATACTTGCCTTGGACACACGAATGGCTGTAGTCGATCTAGTCTCACAGCTGCACTTATACGTATCCCAAGCACTGTGAACACAGATATTCAGAATCCCTTTACAACCAAGACAACAAATGTTTGGGCCAACATTGTGGTGTAGCAGGTAAAGTTGCAGCCTGCGACACTGGCATCCCATATGGGTACCAGTTCGTGTCTCAGCTGCTCTGCTTCCAATCCTGTTCCTTACTAATGGCCTGGGAAAAGCAGAAGATGGCCCAAGTGCCTGGGCCCCTACCAGCCACATAGGAGATCTAGATGAAGCTCCTATCTCCTGGCTACAGCCTGACTCAGCCCTGACTGTTACAGCCATCTGCGGAGTGAACCAGCAGATGGAAGATCTCTCTCCCTCTCTCTCTGACAAACTTTGAAATAGATCAATAAATATTAAAAAAAAAAAAAAAGCCAAATATCAAAAGTCATTTCCCTGCACTGACAAAACTTGCCTTCTAAAATCTGAAGAAAAGCAAGCACTTGTATCTATTGCTGACACATTTAGAGCTGTTCTGAGGCTGGCTATTAGAGACGTAAACCACAAAATTCAGTAGGGACCCAAACCTCAACTCACCTCTTTTGTTTTTACTTTGGGGCTACTAAAGGGACAAGGTGATGTCAGAAATGTAAAGATGATGTAGAGACCTCTGAGACCACCTTTTGACCACTAATTCTCCACAGAAACAGCTCAAGCACAAGTAAAGGACCCACCAGTAATCAGAAACACACTATACACAGATGGCACCTGCTAAAAAACACAAGTTAGAGACCTGCAAACTAAGACCACATACCAGGACCCAGAAGTGGGCATTCTGATCTTTGCTTAGCAGATCCCATTCCTTCCTGTTTGTAGGGACTGGGACATGGGGCCAAGTACCACCTAAAAGAACGCCTATACCCAAAGCAAAAAAGAGCTCACAGGCCTCCAATGCAGCTTCAGGCCTCCTCTAAACATAGGGGCTGGCTTACCCACCTATCCTACTTGGGCCTCTCCCTAATGCTTCAACTTCACCACTATACTGCCACTTCAAATGGGAGGGAGACTGCCCTATAGCTCCAAGCCATAGAACAGGCAGGAGCTGCTCTACGGTACTCTGGGCAAGAAACTGGCCACAGCATCTACATTAGCATAATGATGGGCCAAAAAAAAAAAAAAAAAGACAAAATTTGCAAAGGGTAAATTTCTGTGTATTCACGCCTAATCTTCCAGAGTTTTGTCAACAATTTTTCTACCATCCCCCATCATTTGCACAAATTTTTGTCAAGTCCAAACATAATTTAAAATGAGGTAGGTAGTTTCTACACGCGCCATCTTCTCGGGGACAGTCAAGGTCTTGGCTGTGAAAGCTCTCATCTCCCAGCAGGGCCTGTGCCAAGGGAGGACACCAGTGACAGGTAGAACGTCTCAGTTGGCTATTTTCTCAATCTCATCCAAATCATCCGTGTCCAGTCTTTCTATCTTCTTATCTGGGGGGAAAAACAAGGGTCAGAGGGAGATGAAGACAGGCTTAGTGTGGAGACGCAGCTGTGGTGTGACTGAGAGGGACAGCCCAGCCGGAAGGGGAAGACACGGGAACACGCCCCGCTCAGGGACACAGCGATACTTCATTTCACCCAAGGACTTCCAGGCCCTGGGCAGCAGGCAGAGCCCCTTTCCCCAAGCCCGGCCATGCCATTTGGCTCCCTGAACTCTGCAGATGTGCTCCCTAAGAACTCCCATAAGGTAGGAAGGGAGAGGAGATGCGCAGTGCAAAGGCCTCTCAGAGCCGTGGGGAAACACCCCCCCCACCTGCCCAGGAAAGGGCACGGGGGGACCCTGCAGGGACTCACTAAAATGCTCCTGGATTCTGTTCAGGATGTTCATGCTGTGCTTGCTGTCAACCATGTTCACGGCCAGGCCCCTCTTGCCAAAGCGGCCGGTGCGCCCGATCCGGTGCAGGTAGGTCTCATTGTCTGGGTTCCCATCCTTGTCCACGGGAAGATCAAAGTTGATCACGACAGACACTTGTTCAACATCGATACCTGCGTGAAGGGGGTTGGAGACAGACGGGAGTCAGGGATGGAAAAAGTCAGTGTTGCCCACAGTCAGGCCACCGCACATTCACTTGCAGTGAGGGAAAGAGCCTGGGTCAGGCCACCTCTGGGATGTGAGGACACACACTGGCCTGTAGCAGAAGCCAGAGGAAAAGAAGAGCGTTGGCAGGTGTCAACACAATTGCAAAATCAGTAAGGAAGCCCCTGCAGACGCAAGTGTGTCCAGGTACGGCTAGAAGCTCAGGTGACTGTACGTCTCCTCCCACCAAACCACGACTCTGGGCTCTCTGCAGCTTCTCATCCCGAGGGGGTCCCAGTCTCTCTGAGAAAGCATGTCACCCCAACCCCACCCACCTTGCCTGGGCCACCTGAGTTTCCGTGGTACAAGGCTTTCTCTGGCTAACAGGGCCTGGGACCCCAAGCCTGGCAGGTAGGACACACTCTCTGCTCACCGCGGGCACACACGTTGGTGGTCACCAGAACCTTCTCTTTGCCCTCTCGGAAGCGCTCAATCACGGCTGCTCTCTGCTCCACCACCATTTCTCCGCTCAGCAGGGCCACCTGGTGGCCTTCCTTTGACAGCTCTGCTGCCAACCAGCTGGCTGTTTTGCGGGTCTGGAGTGAAAAAAATGGTTTTCAATATAAAGACCTATGGGTAAGAAAATGCAGATGCTTGCAAAGAGTGGTCTGTTGCCAATCAAATACACAACAGCTCTGTGCTGAGTTCACTCAGCACAACAGGCTTAAACTGTCTCATAGAGAATGTCAGACCCATGATTGGTTTTGGAGGGACAAATTAAGTGCTCTTGGCTTTTCGTTCAGCAAGCGTACACATTGAGCCCAAGATCTTTATTCCAAAACAGTCTACGTTCCTTATGCTTAACAGTTACTTCAGGGATGTTAACCTGAGGTGTTTCCCAAGTGATCTCTAAGAAGTGGGTAGAGGTAAGGATTCCACCCTCACAACAGCTTCCCCTGGTAACTCACTGCAGCCTGAGGAGCCTAGGCTCAGGGGCAGGAGGAGGCGAGTCATCATTTCCTGCCTGCTCTGCCTGCTGTGCCCTTCCCACGGTGGGAAGCTGGGTCCTCCCCAGCACTAAGGGGGGGTCTCCAGGCAGTGGGCCAGCAGCCCAGCAGGCACCTGCTGCTGCTACTCACGTGGCAGAAGATCATGGCCTGAGCGATGGTGATGGCCCCATACAGGTTGCACAGGGCCTGGAACTTCTCATCTCTGTTGTTGCACAGGACGTAGTACTGCTTGATGGTATCCAAAGTCTCCTCCTCGCGCTTCAGTTTGATAATGTTCGGGTCTGGGACCACTTTCTGGGCAAACTTCCACACAGAGTCTTCAAAGGTCGCAGAGAAAAGGAGCATCTGGCAGTTCCTGGGCAGCATCCTGCAAGGCAGGGCCCGGGCATCTGACGTGACCCTGAGGCTCTCAGCGGGAATAGCAGCCCCACAGCTCGCCCGCTTGCTTGGCTGTGCCCCCAGGAAGGCTACAGGTGCTGTGCAGCATCCCAGGGAGGCCCAGGGGAGCAGCTGAGCCCCAGGTCTCCTCTCTTAACTCAGGCTGGGAGTATGCTCAGTGCTGATCAAGCGAATGCTCTAAGTCCAAGCAGAGAGCCTGAGACGGCTAGAAGAGGTGTCTGAAGCACGGGACAAGAGGCTGCCCCGGTTCCTACCTCTGGATGCGGATGCTCTGATCCTGGTGGCCCTGAGTGGCTATCATCACGTCAGCCTCGTCCAGAACAAACACCTTGATCTTCTTGGGGTCAATGAACTTGAGTTTGGAGCACCAGTCCAGGACAGTCCCTGGGGTGCCAATGACAATCTGCTCACTGATCTTCTGCCCTCTTTCCACTGTGGAGACAAGATGCTTTCCTCAGGAATTCCCATGGTAAATTCTGCTCCCTTGCTGAGAAATCCTGATGCTATCATGTATTTGAATGCGAACGTTTTACTGTCTACATTAATATTTTAATGAAAGGTTAGACTACCACTACAATATAATGGACAGAAAAACAGACAAAAATTCTGAAGACATAAGCTATAAAAAATAAAAAGAATGAAACCTTTTTGGTGGTTTTCTTTTCATTATGTATAATCATCTAATTATTTCAGGTTTCTGGTATACTTATGTTTTTCTAAATCTCCTTTTTTTAAAAAAGATTTATTTATTTATTTGAAAGAGTTACAGAGAAATAGAGAGGTCTTCCAGCCACTTCTGGTTCATCCCCAAATGGCCACAATGGCCAGAGCCGAGCTGATCTGAAGCCAGGAGCCTGGAGCTTCTTCTGGATCTCCCTGAGTGCAGGGGCCCACGGACTTGGGCCATCTTCCTTGCTTTCTCAGGAACATTGGCACAGAGCTGGATCAGAACTGGAGCAGCAGGGACTGGAACCAGCACCCACATGGGATTCTGGTGCTGCATGTCATGATTTTTTTTTAAGATTCATTCATTTTTATTAATTTTTACTTTTTTAAAATTTATTTATTTGAAAAGCAAAGTACAGAGAGGCAGAGGCAGAGAGAGACAGACATAGAGAGAGATAGAGAAAGAGATAGAAAGCTCTTCCATCCACTAGTTCACTCCCCAAATGGTTGCAGTGGGCCGGAGCTGAGCCTATCCAATGCCAGGAGCTAGGAGTTTCTTCTGGGTCTCCCACACGGGTATAGGGGCCCAAGGACTTGGGCCATCTTCCACTGCTTTCCCAGGCCACAGCAGAGAGCTGGACTGGAAGTGGAGCAGCTGGGACTTGAACTGGCACCCATATGGGATGCTGGCACTGCAGGCAGCAGCTTTACCAGCTAAGCCACATTGCCAGTTCCACAGGCCAGGGCCTTTTTTTTTTTGACAGGCAGAGTGGACAGTGAGAGAGAGAGACAGAGAGAAAGGTCTTCCTTTACCGTTGGTTCACCCTCCAATGGCCGCTGCGGCCTGTGCACCGCGCTGGTCCAGAGCCAGGAGCCAGGTGCTTCTCCTGGTCTCCCATGCGGGTGCAGGGCCCAAGGACTTGGGCCATCCTCCACTGCACTCCCGGGCCACAGTGGAGAGCTGACTGGAAGAGGGGCAACCGGGACAGAATCCGGTGTGCCGACGACACAGGTGGAGGATTAGCCTAGAGAGCCACGGCACCAGCCAGGCCAGGGTCTTAACCTGCAGTACCACAACGCCAGTCCCCCACCTTTTTAAATTTTTAAGATTCATTTATAGGGCCAAGGCTATGGCATAGCAGGTAATGCTGCCATTTTTGCACCAGCATCTCATATGAGCACTGGTTCAAGATCCAGCTCCCTACTAATGTGCCTGGGAAAGCAGCAGAAGATGGTCCTAGTCCTTGGGCCTCTGCAGTCACATAGAAGAGTCAGAAGAAGCTCCCAGCTCCTGGCCTCAGTCTGGCCCATCACCAGCCATTGTGGCCATCTGGGGAGTGAATCCGTGGATGCAAGATCTTTCTCTGTCTCTTCTTTCTCTCTGTAACTCTGTCTTTCAAATTAAAAAATAGTTTTAAAAAAGAAATAATTATAATGTCTGCACATTACTGTCAAATGGTTCAAGTAAAACATGTATACAAATATATAGAAAAAATCAAATACAGCAAAATGTTAGGTGAGAGCACATATGTATTCATTATTATATCAACTATCAAGTATCTTTTGAAATATTTGAAAGATCAAAATAAGTAGTTAGGTTAATGATACAGGATCACATCCTCATACTCACATTTATTGCCTCGAACAGCATAAGCTAGTTTCAGTTCAGGGTAAAATCTGCCCATCTGCTCAATCACTTTTCCGGTTTGAAGGGCAAGTTCATATGTTGGGGAAAGGCACAGACACTGGGAGGGAAAGAGTGCAGCATTAGAATTCAGAACAATAGGCCTTTGCAAAGAGGAATTACACAAGATTCAGTCATCGCTCCAGCTGAAGGTGAAGCAACAAATATGCAAATTTTTTTAAGATTTATTTATTGTAAAGGCATAGTTACAGAGAGGGAGAGGGCAAGACAGAGAGAATAAGATTTACTTTCCATCTGCTGGCTTCACTCCCCAGATGCCTGCAACAGCCCATGTTGGGCCAGGCCAAAACCAGGAGTCAGGAGTTTCATCCAGGTCTCCCACTTGGGTGGCAGAGGTCCAAGTACTTGGGCCTTCCTAACGCTGCTTTCCTAGGCACATCAGCAGGGAGCTGGATCAGAAGTGGAGCGGCTGGGACTTAAATGAGCCCCCACAAGGGGTGCTGGCATCGCCAGCAGGACTTAAGCCATGCCACAAAGAGGGCATCAAAGAATATGCAAATTAATATGTAAACCATTTGACTCTTCAAGCTGCAGAGTCAGTAATTCTTCTCAGGGGTCAGGACCCTGCTTAGTGAAAACAAGTGAAAACAGACATTCCCCTCTGGAGTGCAAAACACCCCCAGGAGTAAGGAATTGGAATTCCAACTAGAGATTAGTTTCTTTTTCCTTTGCTAAGAAAGTTCTAAGAACTTTCTTTTTTTTTATGTAAAAAAATCCATATATATTTATAGGTCTTAATACAGCAAAACATAATTCAAAGTTGAGAATATTGCTCGTCCAACCAGTAAATTTGAAATTATTTAACTTTTAGTATAAAATGGTGTTTTTCCAAAAAGTGGATCTGCATGGAATTCACCTGCCCTTCTTGGTCATGCTCTCACAGTACATGTTACAGACATTGTAATCAGCTGCTCTCATGCTTAAATTCACATGAACATGGTAAGCACAAAGCAGCAACCGTCTTTTATGTAGTAGCAGAAAGAGTCAATAATCCTTTCAAGAATGAGACTATTTCATTTCCTCCCAACTTGGATTCACCATAAACACGATCCACCAATGATACTGGGAACCTCAGCAATGATATCATTCAGCTGTCTTGCCTGAACAGTCATCTCCATCTGGAAGACGTAGCCTTCAGGAACACATTTCTCTATTAACGTCTGTAGAACTTCTTTTTGATACACTCTGAAACTTCCAGTTAGATCAGATGCTCCTGGTCTCAACAAAATCTAGGTAATAAAACTGGCCCCAGGGCTGGTCATTTTTCTTTTCAGATCCCAACCATATACACCTCATTTCCTTTGTAGTGAGTTCCAGAGACAGTATCAACATTTCCTGCCTTTTGTTTCGTGGTGTGACAGATCATCATAATGACGCAGTTTCTTGCAGCATGTTCCACTCCATGCAGTTCCTAGTCCAGCTTCTTCTCGCGAGGTCTCAGGAGAATTCTGTCTGACCCGTAGATATTCCAGCTGTTCAGCCACATCTCGTTCCATCTGGGCTCCCAGCATCTGTGATTATGATTTCATAGCTGATTCCACTCTCAGAGAAGCTTTTCACCAGCAGCCACACAACGAGCAGCAGGTTCTCACGCTCATTGTAGGTCGGCAAGAGCACGGGATACTTGTCCTGTCGCCAGCCGCATCCCTCAGGCTCGCGCCAAAATCCAGTGAACTCCTGACTCCCTTCCGTGGAGGCCATGGCGGAACTGCCAGAACTTTCTAACAGAAGCCAGATAAAGGAGCCAAGCCTGTCAGCAATATCCCAGAACTGGCAAATCATGGGAAAGGGAGCAGTATTCCTGTTACCACTGCAAGATTAACCATATTGTTTGTGTTCAACTTGCAGAGCACAAGTTTATGTAAAAAGTAATACACAGGGCCCTCAGTTGGTTCAGCAGCTTATACTGCTCAAGACATGTCCGCTTATGATTCCAGCTTCCTGCTAATATGCACCCTGGGAAGCAGTGCTAATGGCTCAAGTTCCTTGGTCCCGGCCACTAGTTAGGAAACCCAGATTAAATTCTGGGCTCCTGATTTCAGCCTGGGCCAGCTCCAGCTGTTGCAGACATTTGGTGGAGTGAACCAGCAGAAAGAATATCTCTGTCTGCTTTTCTTCCTGTCTCTGTCCCTCTGCTTTTCAAATAAATAATTAATAATAATAATAATAATAATAAAATAACGCAGTTTGGCTTTCTGTCCACCAAATGGACTTTCCCTCCTAACTATGCTTACGTAGAAAATCCAGGGGGCTGGTGCTGTGACACAGCAGGTAACGCCACAGCCTGCAGTGCTGACATCCCTTATGGGCACTGGTTCGAGCCCCGGCTGCACCAATTCCAATCCAGCTCTCAGCTATGGCCTGGGAAAGCAGTAGAAAATGGCCCAAGTGCTTGGGCCCCTGCACCTGCGTGGGAGACCTGGAAGAAGCTCCTGGCTCCTGGCTGCAGATTGGCCCAGCTCCAGCCATTGTGGCCAATTGGGAAGTGAACCAGCAGATGGAAGACCCCGCTCTCTCTCTCTGCCTCTCCTTTTCTCTGTGTAACTCTGGCCTTCAAATAAATAAATAAATCTAAAAAAAAAAAAGAAATCAAAATTTGCCAGATCCTTACCTGGGGATATTTGTTCGCAGGTTCCACTTGGCTGAGCATGGCCAACACAAAAGCAGCTGTTTTACCAGTACCAGACTGAGACTGGGCAATTAAATTCTGTGGGCTACACAAAAGAACAAACTGTTTAGGAGCTTAATTTCAAATAAACCTTAGTTAATAAAAATGAAAAATAAAACCCAATAAGTTAGTTTAAAATTCATTTATAGAAGACGACATTGGCTTCTGCAACAATTACATATGCTAGGTTCACAAGTATAGCAGACTACAGAGAGAAAATTTTGTGGTGGGATTCAAAGCATTTCATGTCTGATCTGCTCTCTATACAGCTACTGATTCTTTTTTGTTGTGGTGGTTATTCAATAAACTCTTTCATTATTCTAGTTCACAGATTTTTCCATTATAACACCTGTGAGTACTAACACTAAGTAAGGAGACCCCTCCTCCAATTATACAGTAACTAACACGGAGTTTAACATGGAGTAAATGCTGGGTGAAAGGCATTAAAAATTAAGATACCAGGGCCACAACTGTGTGTAGAGAAACACTTTAAGCTCTGGTTTATCAGAACAACACCATTTTAGAAAATAAACAATTCTGAAAACGTATAACAAAACTCAACAGTAAACAAAAAGCAAAATCAAGCAAACCAAATACTTGGGGTGGACATGCAGACTTCCAGGCTTTTGGCCCTAGGACCTGGAAGTGGGTTTGTAGGTTTCATAGAAATTTGTCTGTAGAGGGGCTGGTGCTGTGGCGCACGGGTAACGCCCTGGCCTGAAGCGCTGGCATCCCATATGGGCGCCGGTTCAAGTCCCAGCTGCTCCACTTCCGATCCAGCTCTCTGCTATGGCCTGGGAAAGCGGAAGATGGCCCAAGTCCTTGGTCCCCTGCACCTACGTGGGAGACCCGGAGGAAGCTCCTGGCTCCTGACTTCGGATTGGCGCAGCTCCGGCCGTTGCAGCCAATTGGGGAGTGAACCATTGGATGGAAGACCTTTCTCTCTCTCTCTGCCTCTCCTCTCTCTGTGTAACTCTGACTTTCAAATAAATAAATAAATCTTTAAAAAAAAATTTCTCTGTAGAAAGGAATGTTAGGGCCTGGCGTGACCATGGTGGCCCTGCTCTGACACTGCGGTGTTCCCAACTCCTGTCTCTTCACTGAGGAAAGTAGTATGTCTGACACAGCTGCCTGGGCCTGCTCAGTGGGGCCTATATTCCCAGTCCTTTTGAGAACAGACCCAAATCCCAAAAAGGCATTGCATCCCTGAGGCAGCCCAGAGGCAGCAGGGAGACAATCAGCGTGGGCCCTAGGCTGTGCGGGAGCTGCCCAAGTAGTTTACAGAGAGCAGGTGGGCCTTGGTGTTGATCACCCAGTCTTCCAGGGAGAGCATGTCATCAATGGAGACCAGAAGGTAGAAATACTTTAGTGCCTCCGCTAGGAAGAAACTCTGCTGTTTGTTGTTGTGGCTGGGGATGAAGCTCTACACATCCATAATCCTCAAGGAGCCGGCTTCTGTCTGGTAGTATTTCTCCAAGGCCATTACCACTTCCTGTAGACTGTGTCATGGGTCTGGTACCACAGGTACATGCAGCTCTCAACCACCTCAGATGCAGCATGTAGTAGCTCTCACTCAGCTGGGTGGCCTCCTCTCTGTTAGAGTTGAATCAAAAGGCCCTGGGCTCTAGTTTGGAATCTGGGTGGGCGCCGGTGCTGCGGCTCACTAGGCTAATCCTCTGCCTGCGGCGCTGGCACCCTGGGTTCTAGTCCCGGTTGGGGCGCCGGTTCTGTCCCAGTTGTTCCTCTTCCAGTCCAGCTCTCTGTTGTGGCCCGGGAGGGCAGTGGAGGATGGCCCAAGTGCTTGGGCCCTGCACTCACATGGGAGACCAGGAGGAAGTGCCTGACCCCTGGCTTCGGACTGGCGCAGCGTGCTGGCCATAGCAGCCATTTGAGGGGTGAACCAACAGAAAAAGAAAGACCTTTCTCTCTGTCTCTCTCTCTCACTGTCTAACTCTGCCTGTTTAAAAAAAAAAGGAATCTGGGTAGACATACAATTCCTGGCACATCTTGGTAATCTGGGATGCGAGATTTCAGTGATACCACACTGATTTTTCAATTTTTTTATTGTTTTATTCATTTATTTGAAAGGAAGAATTACAGAGAGAGAGAGAGAGAGAGAGAGAGAGAGGTCTTTCATCTGCTGGTTCACTCCCCAAATGGCCGCAATGGCCGGAGCTGCACTGATGCAAAGCCAGGAGCCAGGAGCTTCTTCTGTGTCTCCCACGCAGGTGCAGGGGCCCAAGGACTTGGGCCATCTTCTACTGCTATCCTAGGCCATAGCAGAGAGCTGGATCAGAATTGGAACAGCCAAGACTCAAACCAGAGCACATATGGGATTCCGGCACTGCAGGTGGCAGCTTTAACCCACTGCACCACAGCACTGGCCCCTACTGATTCTTTTAAAATGTGAATCAGCTCATGTATACTTCTCCGCTCAAAAGCATTCCCATCACTGCTTATTTCATTCAGAATATAAAGTAAAATCTTTATAGCATCCTACAAGGGCCTTACCTGATCTGCCTTCCCATTATCTCTTGGATCTCATCTCCTGCTACTCTCTCTACCTCCCCCCATCTACTCCACCATAATGACCTCAATGCTACAGAAAACATGTCAGCCAAGCCCCCTGTAGAACTTCTGTACTGGCTGTATTCTGCCTAAGACAAATGTCCCCAGTAAGCGCACCCTAATTCTCTCCTCTCCTTCAAGTCTTTGCCCAAGTGCCTCCTACTTGATGAGATTATACCCTAATGAGCTGACTGAAAAGTGAAAGTGTAATCTACTTTGAAATGCCTTAAAATAAACAAGATGTAGGCTTCCAATGGCAGGATTTGGAGCAGGGATGGGAAGAATCAGGTTTGGCTCCTTTAAGGTCACAAAAAACAGTCCCCATAGTAGCCCAAGCAGTAGGGTCTCTCCCTCTCTGTAATTCTGTCTTTCAAATAAATAAATAAATCTTTAAGAAAGCCAAAATTTTAAAAAGTAAAAAATTAATTTGAAAAGCAGAGTGGGAAAGACAGAGAGAGCTTCCATCCCTCAATTTACTCTTTAAATGCCTACAATGCTGGAGCTGGAGCAGGTCAAAGCCAGGAACCAGGAACTATCCTCTTCTCCCATGAACCCAAGTACCTGGGCCATCATCTGCTGTCTTCCAGATGCATTAGCAGGAAGCTGGATCAGAAGTGGAGACAGGACTCAAGCCCAGGCACTCCAATGAGATGCTGTCTCTCAAATAGAGGCTTAACTCACTGTACCACAATGCCCATCCCTTTCACATTGTTTTCTAAATTTTCTAAATATAGTATGTACTATTTGCATAATTCTTAAAATCAATTCTATTTTTAAAACACAGAAAATTAAAAATAGAAGACAGCTATATTAGGATACATACGGTTCAGCAAGCATCAAAGGCAAAGCGTTCTCTTGGATCTTGGATGGCCGGTTGAAACCCATGGCATAGACTCCCTGGAGAAGTTGCGGTTTCCTAGAGAAACAAAGATGAAAGCCACAGTCTCTTTAGTTGAGGAACACAGCAAAAAAATTTTTTCCCTCTTTTAATGTTCCACATAGTTTATAGGTAACGATAATTGCATTATGATGAACTCAACATAATGTGTGGTGCAGTGAGTTAAGCCTCATTTGTAATTTACTTAATAGTTCAAATAAAATTCCTTTATTAAACATATGTTAGTTAAAAAATGTTCTGTGTGAAAAAAATACATATAATAGGTCTGGGAGAGACAGAAAGTAAACAAATACTCACAGCCGGAGCTCCTCAAAAGACTTCACAGAGTAGAGGGGGGAGTTGGGATCCCGCTGTAGGACTTCCACTTGGTTTGTGTTATCCACAAGGTTGCTTCTGATCAGTTTGTTGAGCAATGACTGGGCAGCTCTGTCCTCTGTCAGGAAAAAGAACAAATAGTTTCGAAGGTCCATAAACCATGAGTTGATGAACTCATCAACTGCCACTGGTATTTTAAGTAATAGCATGTAATTGTACCAGTACAAGGCACTTAACAGTTTAATCTCTAATTATAATTAAAAAGTTTTATTAAAAAGGTTATTATCCTCACATCACACGACACAGGACCCTGTGAATATTTTAACAACCCTCCTTTCCTGAGGGTGTCTGTTCCTCTAGTCCCAAATATTTATTCCCCCAGTTTGCATGCAGTATAAATTTATTGTTAACAAGTGCATGCCAACAATGAAAACTGGAAATAACAGTCTGTATCTTGATATGGTATAAGTTTTTCACAGTTTGTCATTCACATTAAATGTGTCAAGATGCCACTGTGTTTAACTTCACTAGACAATGAGGATACAACCTAAAATTCCTTTTAAAACACTCCATATGAGAAAATCATTCAGGGAATTTACTGCCTGAAGTTCATCAATGTTCAATGTAAAAATTTGTCTAAAATGTAAATTATTAGAATTTCTTCACTAATTGACTGTTGAACCTTTATAGCAGCACTGTAACTCCTGCTGAAGTCAAGTTGGATATAAAAATGAAGCCTCCCTAACAATCCATTTTCTTAGAACTTCATTTATAAGCTCTAAGACTGTGTTACCTTTTTCTTCTTCATCTGTGTTCTCTGTATTAGCATTGGTCTTGACAACAGCACCTTTATGAGACACAAAATGACCATCAATCAAAACCATATCCCATAATCAACAGCTGTGGCAATTCAAATTCTGACACTAGGGGCCAGTGCCGTGGCATTAATAGGCTAAGCCTCTGCCTGCAGTGCCGGCATCTCATTTGGGTACCAGTTCGAGTCCCACTTGTCCTGCTTCCAGCTCCTTGATAACAGGCCTGGGAAAGCAGCAGAAGCTGGCCCAAGCATTTAGGTCCCTGCACCTGTGTAGGAGACACAGAAGACGCTCCTGGCTTTGGCCTAACCCAGTGGGGAGTGAACCAGTGGATGGTTCTCTCCTTCTCTCCAACTCTCTCCCCTACTCTCTCTGTATCTCTGCCTTTCAAATAAATAAATACATCTTTAAAAAAATCTATTACACTATAAATGTAAAGCCCTGGAGAAAAAAAATTAGTTAGGAAACCCAGACACTGATTAAAAAAATTTCAAAGTTTCTAAATCAGCTAAGGTATGAAACACTGTTGCTTCAATTTCAATTATTTTTTCTTTTTTTTTTTTTTTTTTTTTTTTTTTTTTTGACAGGCAGATTGGACAGTGAGAGAGAGAGACAGAGAGAAAGGTCTTCCTTTGCCATTGGTTCACCCTCCAATGGCTGCCATGGCCGGCGGGCTGCAACCAGCGCACCGCACCGATCCGATGGCAGGAGCCAGGTACTTATCCTGGTCTCCCATGGGGTGCAGGGCCCAAGGACTTGGGCCATCCTCCACTGCACTCCCTGGCCACAGCAGAGAGCTGGCCTGGAAGAGGGGCAACCGGGACAGAATCCAGCGCCCCGACCGGGACTAGAACCCGGTGTGCCGGCACCACAAGGTGGAGGATTAGCCTAGTGAGCTGCGGCGCCGGCCTCAATTATTTTCTATTCCAGGTCCTCCCACGTTACTTCAAAATCTAACATTTAGTTCTCTCATAGTATCAATATCTCCAAAGTATTACAGAAAGATGATTATTAAGTCAATGATCAGAAACAGCCGGCGCCGTGGCTCAATAGGCTAATCCTCCACCTTGCGGCGCCGGCACACCGGGTTCTAGTCCCGGTCGGGGCGCCGGATTCTGTCCCGGTTGCCCCTCTTCCAGGCCAGCTCTCTGCTATGGCCAGGGAGTGCAGTGGAGGATGGCCCAGGTGCTTGGGCCCTGCACCCCATGGGAGACCAGGAAAAGCACCTGGATCCTGGCTCCTGCCATCGGATCAGCACGGTGCGCCGGCTGCAGCGGCGGCCATTGGAGGGTGAACCAACGGCAAAGGAAGACCTTTCTCTCTGTCTCTCTCTCTCACTGTCCACTCTGCCTGTCAAAAAAAAAAAAAAAAAAAAAAAAAAAAAGAAACCACCTTGATGCTCAACAGTGGAGTATCTATGCAAATCACACAATGCCATTAAAATTCTAGGTGTATAAACTGCTAATTAGTAGAAACTTAAAAACAAGTTATAGTGATGGAAAAGTATTATGTGAATTCAGAGTAGGGTAAATGCCAGATTTCTCCCCTGTAATATTAAATACATCAACAAAAATTTGGTGTTGAGCCTAGACTTTTGATATATTTTGATAGATTTTGATATGATTTTAGATAATTAGAATAGGTAAACTCTCAGGTTACTCATAATCATTCCAAACTGATGAACATTTTAAAAAGTAACAAATAATAGTTGGCAATATAGTGCCAAAGTCTGGAATAAATTTAATAGTTTATAAACCAATTAGGTAGGCTCATTCTTATAATAAGCACTTTGTGATTACAATCTAGTTTGTTAATTCCCAAATGGAAAGACTGCCAGTATCTGCCAGTCCTCTGGTACAAATACAGTTTTTTTTTTCTAGGCAGTTGTTATGCCCAAACAGAAATACTCAAGGAAATAACATTTGTTTTCAAACTAGCTTTTACTCACCATTGGCATCCGGTTTGATTTTCTCGTCCTTAAGATGCAAGTTGCTCAACTAAATGGAGAATATGGAGGGAGGAAAGTGTCAGGAGAGTCACTTACAAGATGTTAAAGTCAACAGAGGCTTCCCAACAAACAGGGAGAAAACAGCCCCTCTCTCAAGACTGATTCATTAGGTTGCTATTCTGGGTTCCTTTTGTTTGCCAAATGACTGAATGAAAATAAACAAAAATGCCCATAAATGTAGTAAGAAAAAATGATTACTGAGCCGCTTAAAATCCATTCTTCCTAATTATAACCCCTAGAGAGAATTATAATTGATGAGTTTGCTTAACTCCTGATTACAAAGACTCTCAGGGGAATATCATTGTTAGAGTTGTCACTCCCTCACAGTCCAAACAAGAGGACACTGAAGATATCCCAAAGAATGCAGTCACACTGCAGACACAGCCAAGGAGGGAGCACTGCACTGACAGCACCCGCAGGAGGGAAGCAGTACAGTGCAGGACTTGTTGAAGCCACGGCACACAGCATGCTGACACACAGCCAACATCTAAGTCACCTTATGCTTCGTGTCTCATACTCTTAACTGGAAACAGCCCCGAGGATCACTGTGTAATCACAATACTCACCAGGCTGAAGTCGGGATAGAAAGGAAGAGATAGATCAGAGAGGCATTTCAAAGAAAGGATTCTTAGGACTTAGATCAAACAATGGGAATTAGGGATCTCCTGGCAGGACTCCTCTCTCCCCTGTAAGAATGCAACTATCCTGGGGCAGGCATTGAGACATAGTACATGAAGCTTAAACAGATAACTGCATCCCAGCTGCTCTGCTTTTTTTTTTTTGACAGTGAGAGAGAGAGAGACAGAGAGAAAGGTCTCCCTTTGCCGTTGGTTCACCCTCCAATGGCCGCCGCGGCCGGCACACCATGCTGATCCAAAGGCAGGAGCCAAGCTTTTCCTGGTCTCCCATGGGGTGCAGGGCCCAAGCACTTGGGCCATCCTCCACCGCACTCCCGGGCCACAGCAGAGAGCTGGCCTGGAAGAGGGGCAACCGGGACAGAATCCGGTGCCCCGACCGGGGCTAGAACCTGGTGTGCTGGTGCCGCAAGGCGGAGGATTAGCCTAGTGAGCCGCGGCACCGGCCTGCTCTGCTTCTAATCCAGCTTCCTGGTAATGCATCCTGGGAGGCAACAGATGATGGCTCAAATGCTTGGGCCCCTGCCACCCACAAGGGAGACCTAGATGGCATTCTGGGCTCCTGGCCCAGCTCTGACTATTGCAGGCATTTGGGGAGTGAATCAGCAGATAAAAGTTATCTCTCTCCCTCTTTCTCTTTGATACTCAGCCTTTAAAGTAGATAGAAATAAACAAACATAAGATCTGGACATTCCACTCCTGGGAATTTACTCAAAGGAATTGAAATCAGCATACGAAAGAGTTATCTGTACCCCCCATATTTATTGCAGCTCAATTCACAATAGCTAAAATATGGAATCAACCCAGGTGCCTGTCAACTGAAGAATGGATAAACCACATTGGTGGGGGGAGGGACCAGTGCTGCAGCATAGCAGATAAAGCTGCTGCCTGCACTGCCGGCATCCCATATGGGTGCCAGTCTGAGTCCCAGCTGCTCCACTTCCGATCCAGCTCTCTCCTATAGCCTGGGAAAGCAGTGGAAGATGGCCCAAGTCCTTGAGTCCCTGCACCCACATGGGAGACCTAGAAGAAGCTCTTGGCTCCTGGCTTCGGATTGGCGCAGTTCCAGCTGTTGCAACCAACTGGGAGTGAACCAGTGGATGCCAAGACCTCTCTCTCTGCATCTCCTTCTCTTTCTGTATAACTCTATCAAGTAAATAAATAAATCTTAAAAAAAAAAAAAGAATCTATGGGATATGTACACCATGGAATACTACAGTGGTAAAAAAAATGAAATCTTGCTGTTTGCAAAAAAATGGATGCAAATGGAAAACATTCTAATTAGTGAAATAAGCCAGTCCCAAAAAGACAAATACTATATGTTCTCCCTGATCTGTGGTAACTAACAGAGTACCCAAAAGGTAATCTATAGAAGTGAAATTGACACTTTGAGATGCCATGACTTTGACAGTCCTTGTCTCAACTGTTCAGGAACAGGGTTTTTGGTGTTTGTTTGTTTTTTTTTCTATATTATTTGTTGAACTCTCTACTTAGTGTAGAGTTAATCTTATGTGTATAAAGTTAATTGAAAATAGATCTTAGTAAAAAATAAGAGACTAGAAGAGGGAGGAGGAAGAAGGTGGGAGTACGGGTGGGAGGGAAGGTAAGGTGGGAAGAATCACTATGTTCCTAATTTGTATTTATGAAATGTATGAAGTTTGTATACCTTAAATAAAAGGTTTCTGGGGAAAAAAAAAAAAAAACAGAACACAATTCCTGAAATGACAGAAGATAATCCTATTTTTAATTTACCTCTGGGTCTAGTATAAGGCAGGTAAACTAATAAAATATGTAGCAAGACCTAAGACATCATTTAATAAAGGGTAAAAGAAGGAAAATTAGCAAAATTGGGGTTGGTGCTGTGGTGTAGTGGGTAAAGCCACTACCAACAGTCTCGGCATCTGATATGGGTGCTGGTTCTAATCCCAGCTGCTCCACTTCTGATCCAGCTCTCTGCTATAGCCTGGGAAGGCAGTAGAAGATAACCCAAGTTCTTGGGCCCCTGTACCTACTTGGAAAGCCCAGAAGAAGTGCCAGGCTTCTGGCTTTGGATTGGCCCAGCTCTGACTGTTGTGGCCATCAGGGGAGTGAACCACTGAATGGAAGACCTCTTCTCTCCCCCCGCCCCCACAACCTCTGCCTCTCTGTAACTCTGCCTTTCAAATAAATAAATAAATAAATCCCCTTTTTTTTTTTTGACAGGCAGAGTTAAGACAGTGAGAGAGAGAGAGAGAGACAGAGAGAAAGGTCTTCCTTTTTCCATTGGTTCACCCCCCAAAATGGCCGTCACGGCCAGCACTGCGCCGATCCGAAGACAGGAGCCAGGTGCTTCTCCTGGTCTTCCATGTGGGTGCAGGGCCCAAGCACTTGGGCCATCCTCCACTGCCTTCCCAGGTCACAGCAGAGAACTGGACTGGAAGAGGAGCAACTGGGACAGAATCCGGCGCCCCAACCGGGACTAGAACTCAGGGTGCTAGCGCCACAGGGGGAGGATTAGCCAAGTGAGCCACAGCGCCAGCCAAATAAATAAATCTTAATAAATAAAATTATTTTTTAAAAAAGAAAATTACCAAAACCAAATTTTTATTTTTTAAAGGACCACAAGATTCTGTATGTATTGAATTTTATTGCCCTCCTCCCAAGAACCAAGGAAAGAGGGGGGAGGTTGGGGAGAGAGTAATTAAAATTTGTTTTAATGAGTGATTAGTTCAGAATAGAAGAGCCCTGCTTCACTTCACACAAGCTGGTAAGAAACTTCTAGTGTCTATGTGCTTTGGTGTTGGAGAAAGGAGACTCAGAAGAACACATTGGGGCCGGCACCACGGCTCACTATGCTAATCCTCCGCCTTGCGGCACTGGCACACCAGGTTCTAGTCCCGGTCGGGGCGCCGGATTCTGTCCCAGTTGCCCCTCTTCCAGGCCAGCTCTCTGCTGTGGCCCGGGAGTGCAGTGGAGGATGGCCCAAGTGCTTGGGTCCTGCACCCCATGTGAGACCAGGATAAATACCTGGCTCCTGCCATCGGATCAGCGTGGTGCGCCGGCCGCAACGCACCGGCCATGGTGGCCATTGGAGGGTGAACCAACGGCAAAGGAAGACCTTTCTCTCTGTCTCTTTCTCACTGTCCACTCTGCCTGTCAAAAAAAAAACACACACACACACACACATTGGATAGACTGGCAAGAAAGGAAACTGGCAAAAAAAAAAAAAAAAGCATAAAGCGCAATCATTATAAAACAGTAAGAGTTCATCTGGGGTAGACATTTAGCCTAATGGTTGATTCCAGATGAGGTACCCTCTCCTACAGCCAAGTAGCTGTGTTTGATTCCCAGTTTCAGCTCCTGACCCCAGCTCCAGCCAACACAGACCCTAGGAAGCAGTGACAATAGTTCAAATAATTAGGTGGTAAGGCTTTCCAAGCCTACACACAGAAGTGGCACTGCGGCAAAGTTTGCATTACCTGCTGTATGGTTAGTGAACTAATGCTAAAACTTATGTTGAAAGCAGTTAGTTCAGATACCATTCTTCGCTCTATTTCTTTGGACCAAAAAAGCAGAAAGCAATTTCCTTGCACCCTCATTGGAAATCATTTTATGATACAGAAAACCAACCAAAAGGCAAAACAAAAACAACAAAATTCCACCTTTCACAAATTGACCAAAGCCTTCTCTTATAATATCCACATTTTTTCAATGCTTTTAACTAATATGTTTTTAAGATGTTAAAATAATAGAAAACTGGGGCCAGTGTTGTAGCACAGCAGGTTAAGCTGCTGTTTGTGATGCCAGCATCCTACATGGGTGCTCAGAATCAAGTCCCAGCTTCTCTACATCAAATCCAGCTTTCTGCTAAAGTGCCTGGGAAGGCAGCAGAGGGTGGTCTGGCTGTTTAAATCTTTAAAAAGATTTATGTATTTATTTGAAAGGCAGAGTGATGCACACACACACAGAGATCTTCCATCCATTGGCTCACTACCCAGATGGTTGCAACAGCCAGTGCTGAGCCAGGCAAAGAGTTTCTTCCAGGTCTCCCACGTGGATGGCAGGGACCCAAACACTTGGGTCATCTTCTGCTGCTTTTCCCAGGCAAGGACTGGATCAGAAGAGGAGCATCTAGGGTGCGAACTGGTGTCCACAGGGGATGCCAACGTCGCGGGGGCGGCTTTACCCACTTTGCGACAATGCTGGCCCCAAATAAATAGATCAATAAATCTTAAAGCTACTTGAGAAAGGATTCTTGAGACATAAGGAAAATCTAATGTTAAATGACATATGCTAAATAGGGATTACCTTAGGCAAAACATTGAAGCAGGAGACTTAAAAAGTCTCACCAATTTTGGGGTCCCTTTTCCTCTAA